AAACATTTACCTTATTAAAATTGTAACCCTTAACTTTAAGTACTTATAAAAAAGTATTGCAACACACATGTTGAATTATGAAGTATTTACCAGTAAATTTTTATTCTCGCCTTACTTGTAATTTTGCGCCAAAAAACGACGAATTTTTGACCGAAAATGTCAGCCTGGTAACGAAAAAGTGGATGAATCTTTTCTCTTTATGTGGTAAATTACTCCCTCTAATACGCTGCTCTCAGAATGCATGATTTGTGGGTTCTTGATACCGAAAAATCGACTGACGGCAAATCGTCTGTCTGTTCGTCTTACGGTCTATCTGTCTTGGTCAATCAAAATATCCGTTTTAAACTCGAGGGTTTTCCAATTAATTTGAACCAAAAGGGGAATATCTATTTTGAAGAATATCGGCTGAACGGTTTAGGAGCTAGCGTCAGCTACAGACGGACAGAGACGTTTTGCCGTCAATCGATTTTCCGGTATGCCATTCTTACAGGTGAATTTCACTATTCTTACAAGACATTTAAAAAAAACATTTGGGGCAGTTTTAAAATTTGAAAATGTTCCATCGACTACATGTAAACACAGTGTAAGTACGTCCAAAATTTAAAGAATAGTTTTCAAAATCGCAGAGCTTTGAGTCGGGCTAGATCGATTGGGGATATTCATTTTGCAAAACAATCCTACAAAAAGATTTTCCGCAGCTATACATAACTTTCTCTGTACTTGTTATATTTATCTACTTAGTGCACTACTTTCGATGATGCGAATAGCATACCCCGCCAACTCAAATGGAATAAGAGCTGTCATGTAAATGTCATGATCATGCAACTACTTTACTTACGAACAGTCTGCTTCAGGAAATGGTTGTCTATAACCGGATGTCAATTATTTGTATAAATTGGTTGGCATAACATTCGGAAGTTCTTGATTACAATTCACAAGCTTCAGCAATGCCACGAGCGTTGGTGTTGCGTTTCTGCACTTTTGCCCGTTTATCGATCGAACAACACTGACTTCAAAGTCATCGTATGCTTCAATCACAGGTTTCTTCCCCTTTCTTTTCTTTTCTGGCATTTGATGTTGTCATTTGTCAGTGAGGTCTTTCCAGAGTTAATATACGCTGGATACGGATATTCCAGTCAAGGCTGCGATTGCTCCTCAGTTAACGATGGATTCATTAACGACGAATTGAAAACGTTATTGCATATTTGTCCTTCAAATAAATTTTGTTGTCCCTAATTAGTTCTTTCATTAAGAAACTTTTGTAGTTTTCCCGCAATATTGCGTGCAATATTTGCAATTTTAAAAAACATTCAATTACAAGATTTTCTCAAAAAAGATCCAATTTTTTTCTTTAAAGTTTTAGTTATTGCTAAATGCACTCTACCAGATGACAAATGTCATATTTTTCTATTATTTTGTTTTTTGAAAAACACATTTTTTTACTTCCCTCTCGCGTCGTTAATTTTTACATTAGCGACGATTTGTTCACATTATTGTATTTAAGAGTACATGTGCTTTAAATGTCCTACAAAGTTTCTCGAAAAATCAAAAGTTTTATGTCAAAATGAGCTCGAAATTACGCCTTTTCAGAAACGCTAAAACGCCATTTTCTCAAAACAGCTACACATTTTTTCTTCCAACTTTTCGTACAGATAGTGCATATTACACTTTAAGCTGATATAGGATTAATTTTGATGTATTTTTTTTTCGAAAATTACACAAATGTAATTTTTTTAAATATTTCTCGCGCCCATAATATGGAGTTTTCAGTTGTATAATGATTGCATTAGTGAGAAACGTTTTTGAAATTACTTCAGATGAAGTTCAAAAAATGCATTTAGGTCGGCAAGAGATGTCGGTTGCCAAGAAGATGGCGAAAGACCTTAAAGCTAACCCACACAAAAAACTAAGAAAACTTCATTGCTAGAAAGTGTAAGCCATTCTACAGCACCACTAGTGTATTCTAAATTTAGCAACTTCATTTATCCATTTTTTTGGTTACCAGGCCCCTACAAAGTTTTTCTGCCGAAAGCTCACATTTTTTCATTTCATTTCGAAAATTCATTTTTTTGCGCAGTATTACATAACTTTCTCTCTACTTCGTAAGCGGTAGCGAGAAAGTAAAAACGCGCTGTCTGTTGCATTTGCTTCCAGAGGCCGAGAACAAAGTAGACGAGGCGCTCGAAGTGGCCGGCAAAGGAACATTATGGATGTGGCGGACGTTCCTCGCTACGAGCATCTGTGGAGTGTTCAACATGTGGTTGCTGCTCTCCTGGGTGTATATAGCACCAGTAATACCATTCCACTGTAAAATTTCAGCACTGGATGATGCCGGTTTCACCGAGGAGCAGCAACGGGAGCTCACCAATACGTAAGTTTAATTTTCTGTTACATTTACAGAATTGTAGTTATTTCTTTAAGTTAGTGTTCCCCGAGTACCTGATTCCTAGATTCTCCAGGAAACATAATCTGCATAACAGAGATTCAAATGCTTATTGCATGAGAATATGAGTGGCTGAGGTGGCACAGAGCATAAACTGATGTCACTTCGGTCATAGGGATCGAGTCTAAAAATGGCAGGACTTTTGATCGTTTAGCTAGGTATGAAGTATATGAAATTCTAATTACAAATAAATTTACACTTACTCTAAATTTACAATACAAACATCAACATTCATTCGTCACACGCGTAGATCTGTGCATTTACCAACTGATTGAAAGCTAACGGCCACTCTTGGTTGTATTACTTTTAAAACTAAAGTTTAAGCAGATATTGGACTCCGTAAATTCCTATTCGGACTTTTTTTTAAAAAAATCCACTTTCCTTTCTATGATATCCCACTCTCTTGACCGTTCAATGGTCCTGGTCCACCAACACCGTTTCTTCACAGGCTCCGTCCGTGTTCCAACAGCCTCTCGCTCTCCGCATTCTAAAATATCGCTGTAATTTCTGAACTGTAACTCTAGAATTAAAGTTAAATACATGTTTTTTGTTTATTGAAAAACTGCTACCATTCTGCCGATGCCTCTACGAGTTTGGCATTAAATTTCATTACTAAATTCAAATATTATCAACGCAGTACAGAGCTCATTGCGACTTTGCGCTTAGAGTAATCCTCCATTAACAACAGCGTGGGAGTAATCCTCCATTAATTATTTTACATTGTCACATCTTCAAGTCTCGTCGCAGTCAGTTGTCAAGAAGACCGCCAGGTAGTATCTGCGCGTGCGCGCCTTCTACTGTACTTTACTTATGCCTTACTTATTTAATGTAAGCTACTATTGAAGCACTTACGAGCACTTTCTTTTGTAATTTTTAGATCTAGACATAAATATGCATCCATTGTATGGTCTCCTCACAGAATTAGTTTAATGAAGTCACTTGAAAAATGTCAGAGATGATTTTCTTAATTCTTAGATTTTAAATTTGCTGTTAGTTATCCACCTCATATAGAGTAAGAGATAATTTTGTTGTAAAGTGCTGAAGTCCACTTTACACTGTGATGTGACAGAGATACAACGGCTACCCGTAAGACGCTCAAGTCTAAAAAGAGCAGTTTGACCTACATGTGACATATGGTAGATCAATTCAAACAATCCAAAGTGATAGTTGATGGGAAAAAGAAGTTCCGAAACGTTGTGCTAGAATTTTTTATTAATAATTGACATAAAGTGACATAAGTGTTGTTCATTTTGAATACAATATTCTGCAACGTCATAAAAACAAATATAGGAGATAATGTTATACATACAAAGTAAAAATTAAGGAAGCTAGTAAAACCAACTTTATTAACGTTATAAACTAGATCTAGGTGGATAATATACTATTACAGTGGAATTCATTTCCGAAGATTTTTGTTTTTACATTGAGCTAAATAAAGGAGGTAAGTTCACGGAAATAATACCCTTAATTTCAAACTAATTAATGTTCGTCTTTAAATTAAAACGCTTATTGAAACCATTAAATGTTTTGTTAATTTATTTTGTATTGTTATATGCATATTTTAAATTAGTTTTAACTAAAAAAACACTTTAGAATACAATATTCATAAGGAAGTTTCAGGGATGCGTGAATGTTTTAAATTACTCTCCTGAAAATTATAAAAGAAAGACTAATCCTTTTTATTTCTTCCACCCTTCGTTATATTTTCCGGAAATGATGAATGTACACCACGTGATTGCCCGCTAGGCACGAGGATCACGTCTGCAAAGTCCCCGATTTGGACTACAAAGCGCTGGGGAACCTCTCTTTCGATGAAGCGCTCGCGAAAGCGAAGGAAGAGAGGGATAAAGTGGGCGTCGTAGCCTGCGAAGACTACACTTTCGCAGAGACAGGCACTTCCTGTGTCGAAGAGGTACTATGGCGCATAAGCCGAAAAAGTAAAATTCTCACAATAGACCTTTGTCAGAATATTGGATTTAGAGATTAAAATCGACTATCTTTAGAAGTTTTACAACACAATTTCGACCCTTTTCTCACTCACAACGTATATATTTGTTAATTCACATGTCTATTGATATTTACTCTGCTTATATTTTTTCGCTTGTGCTTCTGATGCGATAAGTAATTTATCGCAAAATAACCGGAATTATTTTACTGTTCCATAAAAATGTAATGTGAACATAACTTCTCTAATAAATAGGCTAAAATGTAAATGTACTAAAAGCTGCAGTATGTTAAACAGTGACTCAGTTTATTCAACGAAAAATTATTAATTTCCCCCCTATTTCAACATTAGTTATTTAATTTTCTTTAAAATATTAGCCGCACATACCAAAGTGTTACATTTTTTAGGGTCGTAGATACAAGTAGTAGCAGTGGTAGCAGTGATAATAGAAGCAGATGTAGTTGTAGTTGTAGCGGAAACAGTTGAAGTTGGGTTCAATCAATGTCCTTTTCCGGTGTTTTTTGATTTCCTCTTTGCATCGAAATTAGATAGCAGATGTAATAGCACGTGTATAACGACTAACATGCATTAAATATGTCTTGTTTTGTGCAGTTCCGTTTGGTCTGCGATCGAGCAATTCTGTTGCCGACACTCCAGACGGTGGTGCCTGCTGGAAAGTTGTTTGGATCTCTCTTCATGGGTTGGTTTTCTGATGGGTATGTTCAATTTTCTGAAAATTCAAATACATCACTCATTGAACATGCGTTCCTTTACAAAAATAGTGATCGTTACAGATCAATGATCATTTATTATTTGTTTCCCATTTTGCATGACATCATCTTGCAACTGTTATGGTTTTAACAAGGTGCTACATCTCATTCTCCTACGACAACAATCAACATATTGAAAGGAAAATTTAACAACTAAATTTTGGTTGTACTACACTTGCTTGTACTATACTGCGATTTTCGTAACTGCCACTGGCAGGTATCAGCTGTTGACGGTTTCATCCAATCGGGAGCTTGAACGTCACCATAATGACGTCACAGTGGTGACGTTCAAAATCCAGATTGGATGAAATCGTCAATAGCTGATACCTACCAGAGGCAAAATTTCAGAACTCGCGGTATAGCTAGTTTTGTAATTTTTTTTCGACTGCGTTAGATTTACAATATTGCTCCATTCTCTTACCAGCTGCCATCTATTGCCGCCCAAACTACATTTATTTCTTAATTTTTCAGTTTTCTAATGGTAGTACCGAATATTACTTTAAGAATGTTATAAAAGAGTGAAACCTCGTTCTATGGAAATTTTCCTTGAAAAATATGCAGCCGTTTTTAAGAAAATATATTTTAGACGATACCGTACATGCGAAATTTGAAGCTCTATTACACGGAAAACTTTTCAGTTTTCGAGAAACATCATTGCAAGTAATTTGAAGCACTTACACTCACAGATACAATAATGTATTCAAATCGCTGGAAATGTGCGTATTAACGGCAAGAGAAATATTTTAAAAAAATAATGTTTTCTTCATTTTAAAAAAAAAATAACAAAGTAATACAAAACTGATTTTTGCGTCATCTTAAACAATGCTTACATCACAAACCGTAAAGAAAGTAAAAAACAACAACATTGGAGCAGATTTTGAGAAAATAGCGTTTGAGTGTTTCTGAAAATGCAGAAATTTGAGCTCATTTTTACAGAAAACTTTTCAGTTTTCAAGAAACATTATATCATTTAAAGCACATATATTTATAAGTTCAATAATCTAAACTAATCGCCGCTAATGTAAGTATTAACAACGTGAAAGAAAAGTATTTTTTTAAATAACGATTAAAAGAGAAATATGACGTTTATATCGTCTTATAGGGAACATTTGGCAGCATATCAATCAAAAGTTTACAGAAAAAATTTGGAGCCGTTTTTGAGAATATCTTGTTTTTGTTGGTCAATTCAGCTGACGTTTCGGCCATCTTGCAGCATAGCTCTGAAGAAGGCCGAACCTGTCTTGCAAGATGGCCGAAACGTCAGCATAATTGACCGAGACGCGGCTCACCCCGTATAGTCAAGAATGTATTAATTGAAATTAGCACAATTAGGTTTTCTCTCTTGAAAATACGATTTAGATGTAATATGAAAGAAAAATGCTCGCCTTCAGGAAATATCTTATTGGAATGCGGCAATGGAATTCCGCCCCGCGAGACGGCAGCTCTAGTTCAGTGAATGACATCTCATTGTTGGGACATGAAATTAATTAATTCAAAGAGAAATGGTGGTATAAATAGTATTACGTAACCATTACAAAGAGCGATGAAGTATTTTCTTTTTTGTCACCACTAGTTGAATCTTGAAATAGCATCAGTGAAAACAGAATTATAATTTTCGTAACACTTGTGTTATCGCCAGCACTGACACGGGTATATCATACTCAGAAACCTCTGTCCTGAAAAGGGATCGAATGACATACTCAAAAGTATGATTAGATTACTAAATTGCGGATTTGTAGACACTAAAGCAGGAGAAATACGCAGGCAAAATATGCATTTAAAAGATAAAATAAGCATTTAAAAATGCACTCTAATAATTTTATCCTTATTTATTTACGTCTGTAGAAAGTTTCTCAAAGTTTAATAATTTAGTTTTCTTAATTTGTTTTAGTTTGCTCTCAATATTGTTCTGAACAAACCCTCTTTTGTACAAATGGTTGGACACCACCTGGCAATTTTTGAAAATTCATGGAATTCAACGAAAATTAGACGTGAGCCGTTGTGTTAAGCGTTTCGTATTCAATTTGGGGGGTTAATGAAGCAATTTTTGAGATAATTTCTTCAATAAATCGTATGAATTTTAAGTACAAATTACGCGACAAATACTCGTTTTTTCAAAAAATTGTACATGATCTTTTCTAAAGATCTGATATTTTAGAACTGTTTAACACAAAAACATCTATAATAAATTTTGTAGTTTTGAAATGTTTGCTTATCAGAGGTCATTCGAAAATCAGAGTTCACTTGAAAATACAGTTTGCACCTTTTTTTACTATCTTTTGATAGATACGAGGAGAATATTTAAGGAAAAATGGAAGCCGTTTTGAGAAAGAATGTTTAAATATCTATTATATATCACTCCAAATTACGACAACATTTTATATTTTCCAAACCTTGTTCCAGATCTTTTTTCAAGATCTCTTTCAACAAAATATTTCGTAGAAAAATCTCTCATGTTCAATTCTGTAGTTCTAGGAAGATGCCGAAAACATTGAACTTTGCAATTTTTGTAAAATTAGAGATTTTAACGAAAATAAGACCTGCACCATTATCTTATGCGACCTTTACGCTAACCAAGGATTATGTTTATTACAAAAAAATGGCGCGATTTTTTAGAAAACTTTGAAAATGTTGAGGCTTCATGTTAAGTACCCCCAAAAATCAAAATTTATGTTTCAAACTCAAGAGGCCTCGAGTTCTTCTCTTAAGGTAGCGCGACGGCAAAATCAATCTCTTTTTAATTAGAAATCTTTAATTTCAATCAATCTCAATTGATAAATTAATAATGGCTTATATACTTTAAGGAATAAATTATTTCCTTAAGGTGGTTGGAGCGAGATAAGTGTTATGTTCAACATGCCTTTTTTATTGTATTAATCGAAAGATTGGAGGTTCTTCTATGTTTTGGTCCAAAAATTAGAAAGAAACAAACATTGAAAAAATATTTGAAAACGTTTTATTACGTAATTTTTCTCGTAATAATGGGGGATTCATTTCGTTTTCTCTCAAATTCCGCCTTGGAAATAAATTTTCCGCCAATTCGCTCAGGTTGTGATATTTACCGCGTGTCGACCAGGCAACGAACAGTACTCAAAGTGATTCAAAACAATGAAACTTTGAAGACGCATGAGCCCTGAGCAGTCATGCCAATCTCAAAGACATTACGGCGTTGCCCAAATTATTAAAGACTTTTCACCTCACTCAAACATTGAAATTTTTGCCATTATTAGCAATTACTGCACAAAATTATATAGATATGTGTCTATGATGTTACTTTTTATGATTTTTCTCTTACTAATTGTGTAATAGAGCTTTTTTATGTTCAATATTATGCTTCAATTTTTTATTCTGTGGCCACGCGATTTGTTGGTACTAGTTAAGAAACTGGTCAACGGTAGCTCTTTAAGTGGTATGAAAATGTTTATATTTTACATATATTACACTACATTAATTCAAATAATTAAATAAAACTCAACATAAAAGTCTTATTGGGTTTATGCAGATCCCACAATACCCGCTTATCTCGCAAATAATTATTTTCCAACGAAATATGGACTCTCTATCTACTAGGGAATATCTCGCTCTAACCACCTTAAGTAGAGGAAGTGGGAATTGATGAGGTTATATGTGTCGCAATAACTGAAGTGACTTCCCAAAAGATTGTCAGGGGCCAGGTAGCTAGCGATGTATTTCCTCCCCAAACCCATTAGCGTAACTTCCCTTTAAACCTCGCGGCAGACGCTCACTAGTTACTTAGCAACCTTCCCCGCGACATGCCTGGGGTATTTCGGGAAAGAAATCAACTTTCTGCGTAATTATAACGCTTTTGCACAAACCTTATACATTTTGGTTCGTCAAATGATGCTGAACGCAGTGTGGTGTGTTTTGGTTCGGCCAAGAATGGACACCTTGATTTATTTCCTTCAACTATTTTACATCACAGTTCATTACAAATTTATACAACATAATAAGTTTGGAATATCACAGATCAATATTCAGTTTCTGATCAATGTGCAAAGAAAAATAAAATAAATCTGAATCCAACTTACAATATAAAAATATGAATCAACATAATGTTTGATATTACATAAGCATCCTTAATAGCTAAAAACTTAGTTACCGATTAATGCAGAAAACGTAAAAATCGACGAATACACGACCAGTTTATAGCACTAAATACTGTTTAATACTTATGTATTCTTTTGCAGTCTTGGTCGCAAACCCGGTTTCATCATTTCGTCTTCCTTTTATATGCTTGCTGCTGCAATCCCCTTCATGTTTCAAGACTACATAGGCCTGTGCATAGGACGGTTTTTAATGGGAATTGGAGGAACTGGTTGCTTTTACAGCGGCCTCACTCTCAGTAAGCATGAGCTCAAAGAACTCACTCCTCCTTAGCTGCGTTTCTAACGTAAGTCTGTATCATTCCACTGCACCACTGGCACTAGATAGTTTTCTAATCTCTGTCGCTTGGCCTAGCTTATTGATAGTACCCCACTCTCTTCCCAGCTGCTTCTAATATGCCTCTAAAATACTTTCCCCCCTCATTTTGTGAATTATTCAGTCCCCTAATAATATAACTAAATAAAACTAAGGTAGTATTATAGAAAGATGAATAAAACATGGTATGTATCCAATTTTCCATCAAAAAAATTGTAACCCTTCTTAAAAAAAATGTCCTTCAAGCATTTCTGAAAATGCGGAATTTTCAACCCATTTCACAGAAATCGTTTACAGAGCTTTCGAAAATCTAACTCAAAATTATTTGAAAAGTGAGTGAGTGTTTGCAACCTTATACAAGTCTTTACCCGCAAATGCAATAATGCAAATAAACGACCGTAATGTAAATAGTGACGTGATACATATTGTAATTTTTGAAAAATCAAAAATTAAAAATCAAAATGGCGTTTATGACATGTAACATAGTGCTTTTAGCATTATACATATAAAAAATGTGAACAAAAATGTCGTCAGCATCCCTCATGCAACGTGTTCCGGCGCCTTGATGCTCGACTATTTGCCGCGGAGAAAGCAATTCCGCGAGCGAGTGCCGACTTGGGAAGGCCGCGCCTTCGCACTGGCCAGTAAGACGAGCTGCAGCGTATGACGAACCCACGAGCAGTGTTTGGGGCCTTGCCCGAAGGGTGGGCGAAACGAGATGATAGTGCATCGACTTCTGCCATAGGACGCCCAGCACCCGTTTCAAATCACGCCGGTGCAAGAGAGAGAGCAATGGCGACCTTCCTCAGCGGATGGCGTACTGTGACTGGCTGCTACTGCGCGACGCAAACGGAGGCGAGTTCACTGCACGTGTGTTGTGGACCGTCGAGGTCACATTTACCCGGGACGACGATCCGCACAATCGCCATTGGAAAGCACATGGAAGGCCCGTGTCACGCGACCGCGCCGCCACCAGTTTTGGTGGGAAATAAAGCTCTGCGCCTCATCTTTCCCGCGTTCACATTGGACCGTATGTTGCCCCGGGTTATCTCCATGCCGACGCGAACTCGACGTGCCTGCAGCATATTCTCCAAGGTCTACAAGAAAATGTGCCCTGAGTGCTCAGCATCAAGATGTAGATTCAACTTGACGAATTATCGGCGCGCTAGCGTCATGATGAACGTGCTCATCTCGAGGCGCGCTTTCTGGGTGGTTGCGTTGACCGCAGAAGCCACGTCTCCCGCCCCGCTCTCCTCAACTGACGCCTCGCATTTCGTCTTCTGGGGCGGCGGCAAGGATCGTGCTGATGCGGGCAACGCGCAATGGCCTCGTCGCACGGGTGAACGCGGTCGGGGCCGTGGGCTTGACCGTCCTGGCTGCCGGAACGTTGGGGCGTTTGCAACGAAGCATTGCGGGCCGTGCCTTGTTATGTTGCCATAAAAGCGATGGACATTTTGAGCCTGTTCTCTAAAATTTTATTCGAGGAAGAAATGTAAGGGAAGCTGCAAAGTTGGCGCTTACCACCCGTCGAGAGCGGCCGTTCTCCGGTACAGCAGATGTCAAAAGAAAAGGCGATGGTTTCCATTTCCATTAGTAGGCCGTAGTTTGCTTGCTGCAAAACAAATTATGCTTGTAATTGCTTCTTGCGCAATTGTTTTCAAACGCCAGACGTACTAGTGAACATATATTGTTTTTTTCGCTAATTAACCATACGTGAGTTCGAGCGGTTTATATGTGTCTAAATGTGTAATATTGGGTATTATTATTATTGTTATTATTATTATTATTATTAATATTATTATTAGTATTAGTATTAGTATTAGTATTATTAATTACCTGTATTAATATTTTGTGTTTTGCTACAAAACTTTTTAATAAGATTAAGTGATAACAATCTAGGGCCCACGCTCTTTCATTTTAATAATGTAACAAACTTTGGTTGAGTAGAAAGTTCAACTTTCCGCATCCAGTAATTTCTGTTTCTTTCAGACAGCTCATGGGTAATAACACGATTGCTTTGGAAATTGTCGATAAATCCCCAACTCGCGAAGCGAGGAGATTTATCTGAGAATTTCCAAAGAACAAGTGGTATTTAATAGGACTATTCCACGAGTTAAATTATGGCCAACACAGTTCCAAAATGTGCCAAATATTGAAAATTACCGAAAAAATGTTAAATTCAAAGAGTTTATGATATAGTATATACGTAGTTTATGGGACATCAATATAGCGGTCGATGTATTCCGCCTAAGATAGACGGGTCGCAACTTATTATTGGCGAGTAGGGAGAGTTCCCTCCACAAATAGGTACACAGTACTTGTAGACCACGGCAAAACGTTAAATGACACGCATAAGAATCAATCTTCATCCGTATCAAGCACAAATTAATAGTACGTCTAGTTGTCGCTGCGAGAGCTAATCCTGAATTAATAATTATGAAAATAAACCTCTTCAGTCTGCGCAAATCACGGAGTACACAGAAAGCGTAAATATAATATGGAGGAATCTAAGGCTTCTAAGTATGACGTAATAAAGATGGTCATTAGCCGCAAGGGCTAAAATATTGGTAGTATTGATAAGCGCCGAGCCGGCAAAAACTTAATAGAATGTACAAGAATACCTCATCCTGCAGTTGTGTGAGAAACATTATTTGAGGCCTTTGGCCTCAATTATTGAATTGATTAAATTCAAGTATTAAACAAAAATGCTGACAGCGTTGCGGGTTGCATTTGACATAAGTATTTAGTTTTGTTTTTAACAAATCCTTCATATTTTTAAAGTCAAAGTGTAATTCTTCCACATATTCGTGTAATTCTGTTTCTTTAGATACTTTATTTATAAAGATTGGTTGCGAGTGAGAGCCATAAACGTATCTATACTACTTAAAAATGTAGAAGAGAGGTAAACAAATTTTTTTCATTTCACGAGTGGAATAATCTATTTTATTACATTTTCCGCTGAATAAATTGACTAGCGCCTGGGAAATTAATATTCAGTACTCTTAATTTTCAATAATTCGAGGATATATATCACACACAATACCTGCACGAAATGGGAAGACATTCTTATTTGTTGAGTAAGATGATTCGTCGACCTCATTTCACAAGCATTAGGAGCGACAACACAATGAAACAGCGAGCTCGGAGCACTGCACGGACGCATATTCGACCATACACTTGGCACCAACACACTTGCGGGCTCCTCTCATCTGAGGTCAGCAGAACGTGAGGTCCTCCGCGACAACACATACTACATGAGAGACAAGGAACAAACAACCATGTTCACGGTAGGACTCGAACCCGCTACCCTTCAGACCGAAGCGCTGAGTTGGTACACGCTCTTAGCCACTTGGGTCACCAAGGTTGGCATTAATAAAATTAAAATCTAGCAATATTCAGACGTTGGCAGAAAACTGGTATTCCACCCCGAGTTCTTCAAGATTGTCCCCCATTGCTCTGCGATTAAATTCTGTGGTGCTTTCTATGTCATGTTGGGAATAGCCGAGTGCGCGCCATGTTGAAGCATAGAGCGCGCAGACAGTAGGATGTCTCTTTGCAATGTTAAACGTTCATAAGTGCCACGTCACAAATCGGTGCGCGCGCTGACTGGCTTGCAACTCGACAGGCACTCTTAGATTTCAAAATGATCTCTTTAATCAATATTGCTGCAATATCTCGAATATTAAATGTCTTTAAATGAAAAATACACTATATTACAATCATATGGAAGTGTTTTACGATTATCTGCGAGCTGTGCAACTTAAGCACGATCTATCACTGGAATAAAATGTCTTACGGAAATTATTTCGTACATAACAATTTTCAGAGTTGAAACTTGGCATAATTAATTAATACCACTTCCCCTCGTAAGAGAATGTGATCAGCTACGTAATTATGACGCATCGTGATCTGGCACAGAATATACCATACAATCTCCATTATATTGTAGGTCAATGCAAATGAATATTCTTTTCGTGTAGGTGTGGAAGTGGCCTCTTTGAAATGGAGAAGTATTCTCGGGGTCCTGTTTAATATCAGCTATGCGTTGGGAATGGTGACGTTGCCGCTCTTGTCAATGTTCATAACTCAATGGCGCCAGCTGCTTCTGGCAGTTACAATGCCAATTTACCTTCTTTTTGTGAGTATGTGGTAAGTGCAGTAATCACTCATACGTCTCTGTATGAGAAACCTACAATTGACCAATAAATTGATTACAAGGTTTCTTAGCATATATTACGCCCAAAAAACATTTAAAATACAGCGTGTCTATATATTTTAATTAGAAATGCATATTATACAAAATGTTTATAAGAATGTCTTCTAAAGGGAATTTCTCTCAACAGGTTAATTCCCGAGTCCCCGAGATGGCTTGTAACCAAAGGTAAATACGCAAAGGCGTGGAAAGTTCTGAAGAAGGCTGACAAACGCGTGGACGAGATCTTAGGTGAACCACCGCCCGTAAGACCCTATGCATTGAAATCAGTGACAGCTGGTGGAGGCGCGCTGCCGGGCTGCATCTCCCCCAGCCCTTGTCAGAATTATTTAATTTCTCTTTAATATTAAAAGAAAATATGGGAAATAGTATTTCATTCAATTACATGGCCAATGCTGGTGCGTGTGAAATTTGCGAAAATTTTCTGTTGTTCTGTTGCGATTCCATTTCCCTCCATGGGACTGCTACCTCTTGCTGCTTGCAGCAAAGTATGGGCATAGTTGATTTCGCTTCCCCCTAGTGTTTGTGTGCCTCAATATATTGGGACTCTAGGGGCTGCAGGAAAGGTAGCTTCTTCCTTATTTTTGCGGGAAGATTACATGATTTTTAAACCTCCGGCGGACGTATGATATAGTTAATGTGCTGTGTATTGTACTTTTTTTCTGTTTTACTTTCTCGCTACAGAGTAGAGATAAAGTTATGTAATGCTACGCAAAATAACGGCAAATTTTCGGCAAAGGAGGTTTTTTTACCAGTTGCTAAATTTAGAAATAAAAATTCTCTAATACGTGGTGTAACCAGAATCGTTGTTTTGTAGGTCATTGCAAACCGAAATATCGATGACGGCAAAACATATCTGTTTGTCCGTCTGGGAACAACGGTAGCGGCTAAACCGATCAGCCAAGTTTTTCCAAAATCGATTTTTCCCCCCATCGATCTGGTTTAGGTCGCGGTCC